TGACAGTTAGGTTTCCGGCCACCGCTGACGGTAGTGCCAGATCTCGCCGAATTTGGATCTGATGATTAGATCTAACGGCTATGCAAGCGATTCAGAAAATCAACGGAGGAAAAGTGATTATGTGCTTCGTATCTCCTTGTTTTTGTGTACATATGGAAATATATATGTGATCTCTCTATGAATGGCAGCCATTGATGGCCGTTTTTTGGAGCTTCTGGACTTAATTTCATGATAAACAATTTTGCATTAAAAATAAATATAATTAATTCATAATATAAATCTAAAATTAAATTCAGCCAAACTTTTTTTTATGATGTTGAGTTTAATCTTTAACTGCGTTAATCTAATTTTGAGTTCCATAGTACTTTCCTTTTCCTTTTTTTTCGTTGCGTTTTTTTGTCTTTTTACTCCATTTTTTCCTTGTAACGTAACGCTAGTCGTAAAAATTTCTGTTCAGTTCGTTCGTCGTGTGCGTGTACTCGTGTTTTTCGTATGTGTTCTTCAATAATTGTTCGTATTTTTCATTTTTTTCTTCTGCTTATTATTATTTTTCTTTTGAGTATTCCTTTTTTATTTGACAAGAAATGCGTGTTCGATTTTTTTTCTGTTATTTTCTGTTTTTTTTTTATATTCGTTTAGCAAAAAATTCTTTTTAAATATTGTTGTTATTGACTTTTTGGAATTTTTACATTTAGTGGTGTTTATGTTTAAATATTGAATATTTAATTTGGCTGTTTAATTTTTGCAGGAAATGTTATATCTTTATGGAAGCAAGTGGGGATATGGATTTGGATGAAAGAAGAGGATAAAGGATTTTATTGTTTTTATGGATAATGACTCATCTTGATGTTGGAGTTTGGATGAAATGGTAATGGAATGATCAATGGTGTTGAACAGTACTAGTATTCTGGAATATCACATACTTATGGTATGGAATGGGATAGAAAATCATAAAGTAATAAATATAAATTATAAATTATAAATTATATTAATTTGGATTTAATTAATACTATAAGAAATATATTTGGTTTTGAAATTCATGATATCTAATCAATTTTTTCTACCAACATTATTTTATGGTCTAGTGGAAACAATTGGGTGTGGGTACCAAATTTTATGAAAAAAATAATAAATACAAAATATAATGAAGTATTATAATTTTAACTAAAAATCTTATTTAATATTTACTATTTAAATATTTTAAGATATTTATTTTATTTTTAAATATTTTTAAAATATTAATTTTGGGTATTTGATTTAAAAAATAATTTTGTTTTGTTTTTGAGAAGACATGTTTTTTTAAACCTTAAAACTCAGATTGGGGACTGGATTTATTCGATTAAAAAAGTATCACATCTTTGTAACAGTACAGATTTTCAGTTTATTACTAAAAAAATAATATTAGTTTAAGAAAAAGTTTTGAAAGTTTAAGTATGAAATCACTCTCTGAATCCGTCACTACCAAGGAATGGCAGATATTTTTAATATTTTATTATTAATTTTAAATTTTATAATAAATCTGAACTATAATGTAAGAATTTTTGAAATGTTTTTTTTCTCTTAATAACAGAAATTAATAAAAGCCACTAGCCATAGTCTTCCTTCCTTTTGAAGATTTTGGAACAAGTTGGTTACAATTTAGATAGAGCCGGGTAAGGAAATAGCGCTTTAAAGTATGAAAAGGTCTCTTAACTCTCTACAAGTCAATCGGTTGATAAATTGACCAAATTGAAGGAGCCAGTGAGTCATGCCATTTTTCTTTAGTTTGTGACATTAATTGACTTGCTCTTCAAATCACGAACACCAATGAAAAATTAAAACCTTCCATTCAACTAAATTAAAACCTTCCATTCAACTATTTATCATATAAGAAAAGTAACTCATCTTTAAAAACCTAAAATGTCATTCTCTTTCTATATTGAATTTCATGATTGGTCTCACAATTCGATACTTATTTAGAAAATTTAATAGCAAACTTTAATTATTCCAAAATTTTCCAATTCCAACTGTTTCACATATACATTTCATTTTTTTCTCTTCAAATCTTCTCCATCATTAGTATACAATCCTTTCATCATTGAACTCCAACCATTTTTTCATCTTAACTCACACTTCTCTCTCTTTTCGACCACTTTTCTTTCTCTTTCCTACTACATCTCTCACATTCTTCTCTATTTCTTTCTTCTTGATTTCTCGTTCATTTATAGTAATCACTTTTTCTACATCAATCTTTTACCTAGTTAGAATTAATTTTTATTTTTCCTTTTTACTTTCCAGGTTATAGATCTATACGAAGACGCAAACTGTTAGAATTAATTTAGATTTTATAATTAATTAGATATTAATTTATATTTAGGAATATCTTTTAGATTTTTTATATCTTTGTTAGAAGATATATGTATCTTAGATCTTCTTATATCTTTGTTAGAAGATATATTTTAGATTTAATTTTGTGTATAAATAGCCTAGTGGAGTAGGTTATTGTAATTCATTATAAATCATTATTCCTTATTTTTGTATTCGTCATTTAATATATTCCTTTTGCCTTTCATCTCTTCTTGTGCACCAATAATTGGTATCAGAGCTCCGGTTCGAAATTCACGGAGAAAAAGGGAAACACGAGAGAACAATGGGGCGTTATGTGATAATCGTTGTTTCTGATTCTGGGGATTTGAAAACACTGATTTTGATTATGAATTTTTACGTAAATTGCACAAGATAGAAGATGAACGGAAACGACGACGATGTTCATTCCAAGCTTCTAGTATTTGATGGCAAAAACATGAATAGTTGGAAGACTCAAATGTGCATGTTATTTGGTGCTCAAGATGTGTTAGATCTTGTCACCGATGGCTATGATCTGTTAGAAGCAGATGCAACAGAGGCACAGAAGATAACATAGAAGACGCTGAGGAAGAAAGATCAGAAGGCGTTGTTCTACATCCATCAATGTATGAATGCGAATGTGTTTGCGAAGATTGCTGATTCTGAAACAGCGAAGGCTGCATGGGACACACTGGTCATATGTTACGGTGGTGATGCATTAGTGAAGAAGGTGAAGCTTCAGTCTCTCAGAAAGCAATATGAGAATCGCAACATGAAGGACGAGAAGAAGGTTTCTTAATACGTCTCTAGAGTGATTCTGATCACTAATGAGATGAAAGTTTGTGGAGAAACTCTGTTTGAACAAGTAATTATTGAGAAGATCTTGAGATCTTTAACTTCTAAGTTTGATTACATTGTGGTAGTAATTGAACATTCCAAATATATGAGCACCATGAGAGTTGAAGAACTGCAAAGTAGTCCAGAAGCGCATGAGTTGCGTATGACTGCAAGAACTTCTGAGAGGGAAGTAGAGCAACATGCTCTGAAAGTAACTTCTGGTGAGAAGCATCAGAAGCAGACTTGGTCAGAAGCCAGGAAGAAAACTAATGGTGGTCAAAGGTCAGAAGCTTCAAACTCTGGTAGGCAGAAGAATGTCCAGAAGGGAAAAGAGAAGTCTGACAAGAAGAATGTTCAGTGTTACTATTGTAAGAACTTTGGTCACTATGTCAGGGATTGCTGGTCCAACAAAGAAAAAAAGTCAGAAGAAGCAAATATAGCAAGAGGAGAGTCTGATGATGAACCTGTGCTACTGTTGGCTTCTGAACCTGGTGATCTGAGTTCATCAAAATGGTGGTATATGGACATAGGGTGTTCAAACCATCTTACTGGAAACAAGAAGTGGTTGGTTGATTTTGACTCTGGGAAGAGTACAAAGATCAGATGTGCTGATGATAAATACCGCAATGTAGAAGGTATGGGAAATGTCAAAATCATTCTAAACAATGGGAAATCAGCAGTGATCCAGAATGTATGGTATGTACCTGGCATGAAAAGCAATCTGATGAGTGTGGGGCAACTTGTTGAGAAAGGTTTTTCAGTTACCATGAAGGACAATCTTCTGAAGTTGTATGACTGTAATCAGAAGCTGATTATGGAGTTAGAACAGGGAAGGAATATAACATTCAAGGTGAATGTTAGAACTGCAGACTCTGAATGTCTTAGTGCAACAAGTGTTGTCAAGGAAAGTGAGTTGTGGCCCAAAAGATTTGGTCATCTGAATTTCAGAAGTTTATGACATTTGAAATCAAAGAATCTAGTACATGGAATTCCTACAATCAAGAAGCCTGAAAAGTCATGCAAGGTGTGCATGAAAGGGAAGCAACCAAGATTACCATTTGCATCAGAAGTAGTTCCAAGAGAAAAACATGCCTTGGGAGTAGTGCATTCGGGTGTGTGGGGTCTTTTTCCAGTAGCATCAACTAGAGGGAATAAATATTGTGTCATTTGTTGATGAGTTCATCAAAATGACATGGGTATCTCTCATAAAGTTTAAACACGGGGTGTTTGCTGAATTCAAGAAGTTCAGATTGAAGGCTGAGAATCAGAGTGGCCAGACTCTGAACATTCTTAGAACTGATGGTGGTAGTGAGTATAACTCCACAAAATTCAGAAGTTTTTGTGAGGAGACTGTAATTGAGGATGAGGTTAATGCTCCCTATACTCCTCAACACAATGGTCTTGCTGAAAGAAGAAATCGTACTTTGCTTGATATAGTGAGAAGCATGCTGAAAGAGAAGAAGCTTCCTCATACTCTGTGGGGAGAAGATGTTGCAATTGCATGTTATATGCTCAACAAATGTCCAACGAAGAAATTGAAGGAAATAGTTCCTATTCAGAAGTGGACTGGAGATAAGCAAAGTGTTAGTCATCTGAAGGTGTTTGGTTCTATATGTTATAAACATGTCCCATAAGCCATAAGACAGAAGTTGGATGATAGAAGTAAAGTGATGTTGCTGGTGGGGTACCACAGTACAGGTTCATACAAACTTTATTTTCCAAAAACTAAGAAAGTTGAGTTCAACAGAGACGCCATTATAGAGGAATCAGAAGTTTGGAATTGGGAAAAGTATCGTCCTGACTCTGATGAGATAACTTCTGAAGAAAAGTCAAAATACATGTTTCTGAAGCTGGTAAAGACTCTGACTCTGAAGAAGATACAAAAGGAGAAGATGATTTTGACTCTGACTCAGATGGTGATCCAGACTCTGAAGACAATCAAGGTTCTGGAGAAAGTCCAAATTCTGAAGCAAGTGCTTCTGAAGGGGAAAGTTCTGGTGTCCAAAGTTCTGAAGGTCCAGTTCAGAGGCAACAAAGAGTCAGAAGCATCCCAAGAAGATTTTCAGAGTTTGACATGTTGCGAGACACTGAAGTAGACTCTGAAGGAGAAGTTATTTAGTGTGCAATGTTAGTAGACTTTGAACCGGTGAGTACGAAAGAGGCTCTTAAGAAGCAAATCTGGTTGCAGTCCATGAAAGAAGAACTTGATCCTATAGAGAGAAACCACACTTGGAAGCTGACTGAACTTCCAAAAGGCAAGAAAGCCATCAGCGTTAGATGGGTTTTCAAGAAGAAGCTAAATCCAGATGGATCAATTGGCAAATACAAAGCGAGATTAATAGCAAGAGGCTTTCTACAGAAGCCTGGGCTGGATTACTTTGAAGTGTTTGCACCTGTAGCGAGACATGAAACAATCAGACTAGTGATTACAATAGCTGCTAACAGGAATTGGCCTCTGATGCATTTAGATGTAAAATCTACATTTATGAATGGTCCATTACAAGAAGAGGTGTACGTTTCACAACCTCCTAGATTTGAGAAAAAGAATCAGGAAGGGATGGTGTTCAAATTACACAAAGCATTGTATGGATTGAAGCAAGCGCCCAGAGCTTGGAATTTGAAGATTGATTTGTTTTTCACCAGTGGAAAAATGAGTTTCTTTTTAGTGATGAAATTTATGTACTCTGAGAAAGGAATCATTTTGCATCAGATGAAGTATAAACTAAGCTTCTGAAGACATTTGAGCTAGAAAATTGCAAAGTTTCTATCACACCTGTTGATACAAATCATAAGTTAGACTCTGATTCTGATGGAGAGGACGTGGATGCTACAACCTTCAAATAGATGGTTGGTTATCTACGGTATTTGTGTAATACCAGGCTTGATATTTGCTATGCAGTTGGAATGGTTAGAAGATTTATGAGCAAACCAAAGTGGTCTCATTACCAAGTTGCAGTCAGGATTCTGAGGTATGTGAAGGGAACTCTGAAATATGGAGTGTTATTTCCTTCTGGAAGAAAGATCAAATCAGAACTTCTGAGTTATTCTGATTCTGATTGGTGCGGAGATAGAGTTGACATAAGAAGTACTTCTGGGTACTTATTCAAATTTCTGGGAGGTCCAATTTCTTGGTGTTCGAAGAAATAACCTGTTGTTGCACTATCAACTTGTGAAGCCGAATATATTGTAGGCGCTGTGACTACATGTCAAGCTGTGTGGATTCTGAACTTGCTGAAAGATCTGAAGATTGAGGTAAATAAACCTCTGAAGTTGATGATTGATAATAAGTCTGCAATCAATATTGTCAAGAATCTAGTGTTGCATGGGAGAAGCAAGTATATTGAGACCAAGTATCATTTTCTGAGGAATCAAGTTCAGAATGGAATTTTAGAAGTTGTGCACTGTAGCACCCAGAAGCAGCTGACAGATGTTCTGACAAAGGCTATCAAAACTGATCAATTTCTTGGTTTAAGGGATGAAATTGGTGTTGTCAGTTTTTGTTAAATATAAATTAAGGGATGGTGTTAGAATTAATTTATATTTTATAATTAATTAGATATTAATTTATATTTAGGAATATCTTTTAGATTTTTTATATCTTTGTTAGAAGATATATATCTTAGATCTTCTTATATCTTTGTTAGAAGATATATTTTAGATTTAATTTTGTGTATAAATAGCCTAGTGCAGTAGGTTATTGTAATTCATTGTAAATCATTATTCCTTATTTTTGTAGCCATCATTTAATATATTTCTTTTGCCTTTCATCTCTTCTTGTGCACCAACACAAGCTAACTTGAAACAATATGAAAAATGTAAGTTTTAACATTTTTTTAGGTTATAGATATATACTTATATGTAACCATCTGTGTATTCTTTTGAATAATTTAGATCTATTTTTGCCATTTTTGAAGTTCATGACATAACCCATTTTTTTTTCATCTTTTTCACTTCTTTTGGTTTTTCAAGTTATAGATCTATATATAAAAGGATGGAAAACTTAAACAACATATATAAAATAAAAGTGAAAGTTTTAAAGTTTTTTTTTTGTTTTTTTAAGTCGTAGATCGGTAATCATTTCTGTATTCTCTTGATAGTATAGATCTTATTTTGCCATTTTTGAAATTCCTGATAAAACCCATATTTTTTCCATGTTTTTTAAGATCATTTTCACTTCTTTTTTTTACGGATTGTAGATCTATAAGAAGATGAAAAAAGGTAAAGAACATTTATAACAGAAAACTGTAAGTTTTCACATTTTATTTTTATTTTTTAGATTGTAGATCTATACAGATATTGTTGAAAGTAATTCCTTGTGTCGAAGCAGTTTGCTCGACACAGACAAGAGAATATCGAAAAGATTTGATTTGATTTAGAAGTGTAGAAACACTTTGTCACACACAGATTTGTTTTAAATTTAGATATATTTGATTTAGATCTAATATAGATAGATTTAATTTAGTTCTAAAATAGGTATTTTGGGCTTTTATAATTTTGGGCTTTGGCTTAGGAAGCAAGTTAACCTAAATATATAAATAGAGAGAGTAGCCCCTATTTTTGTAATCAATCAAGTCAATTATGTTGTATTCACAGAATTTACAGTTACAAGTGAATAATAAAATTTTCCACAGTTTGTGGACGAGAGAAATTCTACAAAAAAATAATTGTCTTATTTCTTTTCTTTTCATATAATTCATTGTCATTGTGTGGTGATAACAACCTTGTTCATCAAGATTGGTAGAAATTCATCATAGATTTTGGTGGATTTCCAACAACTGGTATCAAGAGCTCTGGTTAAGCGATCAAGGGAAGATGAACAAAATCAGTGGCGATGAATTATGAGAATGGAAATATTCCATCGAATCTCCCAATTCTTAAAGGTGATAACTATGAGAATTGGTGCAAGCAGATGAAGGTTATATTTTGTTTTCAAGATATTTGAGATCTTGTGAAATATGGAGTAGAACCACTTGATGAAAAGCGGAAGACGCATAATACAAAGAATTGAAGAAGAAGAAGAATTATAAAGATTGTTGTACCTCAAAATTTTCTCTCTCATTTTTCAAGTATTTGCTCACAAGATATTCTAAGACGTCAAATTTGCAGCAATGATACATCAATTTAGGCTTGAAATTGGCACAAGGGAAAAATGGTCAATTGCATACTGGAAAGTCAAACTTTGACTTTTTTGTCAACATTACAACCCAAAGATTAAACTTCATCAAGACATTAAAAAATATCAAGCTTGATCATTAAGAAGTCAAGAGAATCAAAATTCCAACTATGCCTTGATTGAATTTTCTCAAAAGACTTTGTCACAATGTTTTGGCCCTTGATATAATGTGCATGAAATATCCCACAAGACCTAAATTTGTGACATGCTACAACTATGCTGTCAAAAATTGAAGAAAATATGATATATCACATGCTACAACCATGCTGCCTCCCAAGTATACATGCTGTCAATACAGTCTAAAACTGCTCTATGCAGTCTGCCCAAACCTGCACCACAACAGCCACAAAATTGCACCAAAACAACAAAGGAAAAATTGTGGGAAGAAAGTGTCAAAACAGTAGGCAAAAGCAATTCAAAATGAATTATTTGTTTTCCCACCTAAACCACAGTAAAGGGGTCTACAAAAGAGAACTGTCTCATAAGACAAAGGGGTTGGACTTTGGAAGAGCATAGAGAGAGAGAATAAAGAGTCTCATTAAGCAGAAAAACAGTATCCTTGTTAACCTTGACTGATTTTTCAAAATCAAATCTGTTCTTGTTCAAAACAGAACCCCAACCTCTTACTCCACCATACAAACTCTCCCTAACCCAAACACTTCATACAAAGTTTGTCCAAACATAAAAACAGTCCTTATAGTGCTATTCACCTTCATCATCAAAAATACCAAAAACATTACAGTACAATCCAACTCAGTTCTAGCAGTCCAGAGCAGCTTCCTGAAGACTCACAAGGTTATCACATCATTTGGAAAAACATTCAGATCTAAAACAACCTGTGCAGCCCAAAGGTAAGTCCTATTGACTCGATATCTTGTCATTACATCATTAACAAGTTGTTGTTCTTTGAAGACAAGATGTAGTACTTTAATATCTTTTTGAACTAGTCATCTGCACCTTGTTTAGGCTTATTCAATCATTTGTTGTTCATGTTTATCCATCATATGCCATAAGCTAACCTGTACATTCAGTAAAATAATGTTTAAGGCAGGAAAATGCAGCATGTATCGACACATATCCTCATGTGTCGACTCATCCTAGTGAAAAAACAGGGTATTAGTCGACACATAACCCCCATGCATCGACTCATACTGATTTCAGGTTACAAAATAGAAGTGGGAAAGGACTATGAGTCGACACATATGCATTTCGCGTCGATGCAAAAAGGTGCATGAGTCGACACATCCCATTATGTGTCGACACATACTGAACATATTTCACTTTACAGAAGCTGGAAGAGCCTATGAGTCGATACATACGCATTTCACGTCAATACAAGAAGGTACATGAGTCGACACATCCCCTTATGTGTCGACTCATACCGAACTGATTTTGTTTTACAGGGGCAAGAAGAAGCTATGTGTCGATGCATAGCAGCATGGGTCGACACATAGCAGTTCAAAATGCAGTTTTCCTTTTATTTTACACTGTTTTTACATTGTTTTCATCATCATTCGATATGGTTGTAATATTTCAGTCTCCACTTCATCTCCATTGTAAATTTGTACCCCCATCCCCCTAAAGTGATGTAATAGCTTAGGATTTATCTTCCGCATGTTTACTTGCTTTCATATATTACTAGTAATTAGGATGTATGGCAAGATAAAATCAGCAAATAGATAACCTTTCAAATACGAGACAAAATGCATGCAAAGTAACACACTCGCACACTAACACCTCTAGGGCAACCTCACTTTGTCGCCTTTCGGAAAACAGTCATGTCCCTCGAACATGGGTGTTTTAGCAAAGACCCTTCGATAAAAGATCGTAGTCCCTCGATGACCCTCGATGTTGCCTTCAATAAACAATCTAGTCCCTAAAACGACATTGCTAAAACGTCCCATATGTTGCCTTCTATGACTATACAAACGTCCCAATGCCCGTCCCTTCACATCCAACGATGGGGCTTCTTACCAAATCAATGGTAAGATAGCAACATCTAAAGGAGGAGGAAAAGTACATTTAAGATCTTTTGAGTAGGTAGATTCGCTCTTAGTTATTCGCTTGCTCACAACAAAAACATTTTATACACCAACACTCTCACTTTGAAACATTTTCAAAAGACAAACACTTTGTATGCGTTCTTATAGAAATGAGAGTCATTACAAAGAAAACCCTTTTCAAAATCACTTTCAAAAACACATCTCACAAACACCTCTTTGAACTATTTTCAAAACAACACTTTGTACGCGTTCTTATAGAAACGAGAGCCATTACAAAGTTACATTTTCAAAATACTTTCAAAAACCACATCACAAGCACACATTCAAACAAAAGCAAGTTGATCTAGCAAGTAACTAAGATCCCATGGAAAACCATGGATGAAAAGGGTGCTAATACCTTCCCTTTTCATAATCTACCC